TAGTGGGATTACAGGAGAGCAAATGATCACATGAAAATGAAGGTGGGATTTTGGTCTACCACTAGTTTCCAGCCCAGAATCAAACCCCCCCCCCGCTGAGCTGTTCTTTGCTCATGAAGGTTTTGTCTGTAGTAAACAGTGCCACATTCCCCCCCCCCCCGAGTCTGTATTTATTTATTCAAAACAAAAGAGGCCAGTTTTAAGCACAGTGGCTGCTTAAAAAAACAAATGCCAAGGGGTAATTATGTGCTTGATCTCACATTGAGTCTGGCCCTTAATATGACATCGGTGATGATTGCCAGTCCCCACACAGGTCTGATCTATCAATCATTTCATATTTGCAATTGTGTTCTAATGGTTAATTAATAATGATATAAACTGAGCCAGCATGGTTGTTGGTTTTTAATGTAAACTTTTATGATAAAAATTTATCACAGAAGTTCATGTAGTTAGAACCACATTTTTATACCAGTAGAGTATAACAAAATCCTAATACACACACATACACACACATACATTTATATGGTCTTTTCAGCGTGAATTTTACATAAGAAAAATATCATATGACAGTTGATATGCCTTCACACAACACAAGCCATTGTAAACAGAACAGGCAACACAGGCCCCTTATTGATTTATTTTTTAAAAAATACATAATCAGGTAAATGTACAAAACAATCACTTCTTATCGTTATGGAATCCAAGAATGACTGGAAATCAAAATAAGGATGATAATGAAAATCTATTTATGCAGAAGATTCTATATATCTGAAATACAGAAGAATAGGAGAAATAAGGTTGGCATAAGCTGTTTGGCCAATACCTGAAAATGAGTTGCATCTAGACTTTTCTTCCTCCAAGAGCAGCATCTCCAGAGCAGAATTCAACTCAGACAGACTCTTCAACTGGTGCAGGGTGGTGAGAGAAACTCTACTACAGTCCACACCGCTACCTCCCGCACAGCTCCAGACCATTGGTCCTGCTGGCTCATAACCTGTTTCATTGATGGAAGGAATCTTTCTGCCTGAAGAAGGCAAAGTCTGATTCCAACCCATAACTTTAGTTCTGCAACCAGAATTTTCTTATCATGTGAGGTAGGCTCCCATAAATGTGGTTCCCTTGATATGCAGAACTATGCCAAATAGTTATGGTTTCCCAAACTTTATAGGTTTGTAGGTTTAAATGTAAGAATGGAACTGAGAAATGTAATCTCATGGGATTCGAAAAATACAGCAGTGAAGTGGGGGGGGGGGAGCGGACCTCAAAGTTGCACCCTCCCCTTCAACCACCTTCTGTTTCTGTACATCCTTGGAACTTGCCATGTTTGGTTCCCGATAGTTTCTGAACTCATTTTCATTTCCAAACCACTGAGAAATTGATCACTTAATTTCATTATTGACAAGCTGTGATAAATGCTAGGTTGTCATAAAAGGCATTATTGGTCTAGTTGAGTGATTGACAGAGGAAGTCCAAATAAAGGCCACATTCCACTGATGGATCTCTAATGTTTGGACACTTCTATCAGAGCCTTGTCCTGCCTTTTGCTCTGCAACAACTTTCCGGAGGATATGCTGCTGCTCACCACTTGCCTAGGAGCCAACACCTCACCACATGTAAATGGCATGTAAATTAGCTTCAAGATTCCTTATACCATTTACACCATTGACACTCACACTTGCAGAAAAAGAAGAAAATACTAGAGCAGGCATGGCCAAACTTGGCCCTCCAGCTGTTTTGGGACTACAACTCCCTTCATCCCTAGCTAACAGGACCAGTGGTCAGGGATGATGGGAATTGTAGTCCCAAAACAGCTGGAGGGCCAAGTTTGGCCATGCCTGTACTAGAGTATTTATTATGCCAATAAAGGCTGAATGAATGAATGAATGAGTACCAGGGTATTAGTAACACATAAAGTGGGATCTTAAATCCGAGGCACGAAAGCCTTCAGTGAAATAGAATTGTATTTGTCTGGGACAATATATATCAAATATCACTAGAATAAATATTAAATGTTACATTCCTTTGAAAATTCTAAGAGTGATACGTAACTCACAAGGATATGAGTATTCCACCCTGAAATGGTCTTTACAAAAATAGCCGTAGAAGAAAATGCCTTAGGTTTATAAATACAGTTTGCAAATCAAGGCACCAATCCATTATCCCCACCCCCTTTACTTTCAAGGCAATTTGTGATCAATTAACGTTTTCCTACAGGGAAGCTCACTTTGTTCTGCTCTAGCAGTTGTGCACCAATTTACTTTGTGGTTATTATGAAGGACAACTTCATAACAGTACAATGATTTCATTAAGGTCTGACCACTTAGGATCTCTTTATGTCTACCACTGACTTGATACAGAAAAATGTGCCATTCTGAAGCCAGTTACCTCCTAAACAGAATCCACTCCTATAGACTTTCCTAGCCATTGAAGCTTATAGAGCAGGCCCTATAGATGTTATTGGATTCCATCTCCCTTTCAGTACCCATTGGCCATGCTGGGGTTGACGTGAGTAGGAATCCAAATTCCAATCCTTGCAATATTTGTACCCCAGAGCTTACACAATGAAGTCCACTTAAAAAGGGATAGGCTTGGGTTTTATTCAATTTTTTGAGTCCACAGTCATGCCCTCTACACAACATTATGCTATCATGATGGTATGTAGCATATGCCAGAACCACAAGAGCCAATTCACTATAGCCCTTTCCAGAAAATCTCTTCCATGCATTCACTTAATACAAGACAGGGGAATGGAACATAGGAAACAGCCTTACACTCAGTCAGCCTGTTAGTTCAACTAGATTAGTGTTAGGTATGCTGACTGGCAGTGGCTCTCCAGGGTTTCAGACCAGAGACATTCCCTTCTGCATGCAAAGCAGATGCTCTTCACGGAGCTATCACCCTTCCCTAGCTGGGTTTGTGCCTGCTACTCCTGTGCACTATCCATGCCTCCAGGAGCTGTGTGTCTGACGGGAGTGTGAAAGGGGGGTCTAGGTGCAAAGAGTCTCTGAAAAGGGCTCTTCTATGCAAGTAGGTGTGCTCACTGGACATGTGAGGCAGGCAGTTGTCTGATGAGGGCTTGCGTCTTTAATTTTTACCTGTCATTCCCAAACTGGAGCATCCAACAGCTTATGTAGCAGGGAGTGTGGTTTGGGAATTGAGAGATCCACTACTGCCCCAGAAATGGCTCACACAGCTCTTCCTTAACCTGGTGCCCTCCAGATGTTTTCGACGACGACTCATATCATTCCTAACCATTCGCCCTGCTAGCTGGTGCCTATGAGAGTCCAAAACATTTAGAGGGCACTACATGGAGGAATACTGCCTACCTGGCATGACTGAAGCTCCAGTACAAGGATAGGAAGCCTGTGGCCCTACAGGTGCTGTTGGACTCCAATTCTCATCAGCCTCAGCCAGCATGTCTAATGGTCAGGGATGATGGGACAGGGAGTCCAGCAACATCTGGAGGGCCCCAGGTTCCCCATGCCTGCTCTAAGAAATTGCTTTTGCCTTTCTATGTTTTCTCCAAAACTAGGTCCTAGTATTTATATTTATCAAGGATACAATGCCAAGATTTTGGCTGCAAATGCTCCAAATAGATGTGCTTGGCAAACATATTAACAGGAGGCTTTCTGCTGATTTCAGGAAGCTGTGAACCAGAATCAATAAATTGATCAACGGCAGAAAATATAATAGATGCTAGTACATTTAGCAAAGTGAATATAGTAATTCCACTTAATTGGTCATTCTCTTTTGTTAGTTTTTTCATTATTGAAATGTTCCAGTGAAACCAGAAAGTTTTTTATGCTTTTAATGTTTGCACATTTGGGGGATGAATACCCTTCCCTTCAAACACAGATAGCTTTAAACTCTATGAAGAAAGACAAAATTTGACTAGCACCCCAACAAGAACATTGACAAAACAAACTTTTTCACATAATTTTTTTGTCAGTACGTACGTCAATATATTGACTCAAGCCTTTGGGTATACAGTAGCTATGTGCAATAACATGTCTGTTTTACTACACAGAGTTACTTGCACTGGCATGCATTGCATCAGACTCATGTTATAATATCACCTGTGTATCTGCTTTTCAATACAATACAACCATGGCCCATTAGGATGACAACCTGCTGCATAAATATAGACATACTCATGACAAATGGTCACAAATATTATAGCTCATTAGCTCAATATTATTCCTCTCTCTCTCTTTAAAAATAATTTTATAACATACAAAATCCATAAACAAGAATTTACATGTACTCAACAATTATTATGGTGAACAGAAAATCACACTTATATATATCTTTTAAAAAGTCTAGAGCTGCTAAAAAAAGCTTCACCCTTCTCTTTCCTTCCACACACCCGTCCATCAATGAACATATAACATAAAAAATATTGAGACTAACACAAATTATATTAATCATATATTGAACAAGGGACAGTTAAGGCTGAATTATTATTCTGTTTAGCCCACTCATATGGGCTTAAATATTCAGTTATCCCAAAGGAATTATCTCCTGATCCTCCAAACACATTGCTTACAAGTACTCTAAATATTATGGGTAATCTTATCAAAGCTCAGCTACAGTTGATCACAGAATCAGTGTCACTGACTTACAGCATTGAAAAGAGATTTTTTAAATTTCATCTTCTATGTCTTCTGTTTGACTGCCAATACAAAACTAGATATTGCATAAGCAAAGTTGTCTAAAATACCATTGGTTTCTGAATATTTGGCTGAGGTTATTGTCCTCTTACTTTTCTAGTAACTATCAGGGAAAGCCAAAGTATTTTCAAAAAACGAAAACTTAAATGCTTAAGGACTGCACATCACCCACCATTTGTGATCTGCACCATCCAGGAAGCAAAAGCGAAAACACCTTGATCCTGTATCCCTAGAAGAATTTTTAGACCCTACAAAACATCGCAGGCATGGAACAGCAGCATGATTACTGTATCCAGGGATTTTGTGTTGGTTGGAAATTCCAATGTACTCGTGCTCGCTTCGGCAGCACATATACTAAAATTGGAACGATACAGAGAAGATTAGCATGGGCCCTGCGCAAGGATGACGGAAATTCCAATGTACTCACAGAGCTCATGATGTGCTCACTAGAATTTACCCAGTGACAAATTGAGTGGAAAAGCCAAGACAACACACCACAAACTTATATGAGTCAAGCTCTGGATATAGGTACAAATAATAAAACCATATATTTTCTTAAGTAACTTTAACTTGTGTTAATAAGCCAATGAGCCACGCTACACGAAATGTGGACAGAGACATCTTATAACACATTGCTCCTGAAAAGCTTTGCCATCTGTGGTGTACACATCAGAAAGGACATGGAGGGAAGGAGGGAGAAACAAACAGACAAAGAGATACCATGTGGAAGGGTAAGATGGAAGAGATGGAGAGAGCTGGGATAGAAGAGGAAATAAAAGAGTGAGATTTGTGATTGAAATCTTTGGGTGGAAAGTGGGTTCTAGGGTTGAAGAGAAATATGAAGGGTGTTGATTGGGGAGTCAGTACTGGAGGAAAGTGAATTCTTAAAAATGAGACCAGCAGATAGAGGAAGGCTATTCTCCCATGAGTTGCTGATGAATTTGGGAAATGTTGTGTACAAAGGTGTTATGAGTCAAAACCTTGGTTGCAAGCACCTACTTGCATGTGCGGACTCTTTAAGAAAATTCCTATCCATTCACAGGAAATGGGTGCTGTTGTTTTAAAAGGGGAGCATTCAAATACTTAACCACCCACCCCAGGCTGAAATGGTATAGTCACAGAAGAACTGCACAGTGTCATTCTCCTGCTTACATAGCTCAGCTAGAAATCTACTGGAGTTAGAAGATATATCTGATTCTGTTTTTTAACATATTAATGCACAATATTCACCCACAGCTTAATTTGAAAAACACAACTAGGAAAGTACACACCTAATTGAGTTTGACTATAGAATTAAGACATGAATATTCAAATATCTCATCAGTGTGTGTTTCTTAAAGCTGCAAGCTTGCTAGGGGCTAATATCCAGATCTATTTACACATTGCATGCAAGATGCAGCAATGGATGCCCAAAATGTGTTAACTGCACAATGTGGTAACAGATAACAAAATTACATATTACAGGCTGTTATCTACTTTGTGTCATGTGTTGTGCATTATTAAAATAGTTCAGTCTAACTAATGGATGTAACTGGCATTAATATAACATTAAATCAATTTACATACAATGTACAAAATTTTCATAAAATGTGCACATTTTATGTATCAGTTCATGAACTTACAGGTCCTGGCATTTAGTTCACATGGTGCAGGGAAGTCTAAGGTAAGGTAAAGGACCCCTGGACAGTTAAGTCCAGTCAAAGGTGATTATGGACTTGCAGCACTCATCTCGCTTTCAGGCCGAGGGAGCCAGCGTTTGTCCACAGACAGCTTTCTGGGTCATGTGGCCAGCATGACTAAACTGCTTCTGGTGCAACGGAACACCGTGACAGAACCAGAGCGCATGGAAACACTGTTTACCTTCCCATCACAGTGGTACCTATTTATCTACTTGCACTGGCATGCTTTCGAACTGCTAGGCAGGAGCTGGGACAGAGCAACAAGAGCTTACCCCATTGTGCGGATTCAAACCGCCAACCCTTCTGATCAGCAAGTAAAAGAGGCTCACTGGTTTAGACCACAGTGCCACCCGCATGCATGCAATATTATGTGTCATGAAGACAAACCACACAGAGGCTGGTATGTCTGATGTCCTAATGGCTAATTTACTCATTTAATGGCCCTTAGTATACTTGTTTCCAATGTTTTCTCTGTATGACTATATTCTGCCAAAGAAGCAGAGGCTCTTTGGGGATTTAGAACAGAATCAACACACAAATGGGGTGAAGGTTAAATATTTTATTAAACAGCTCAAATAAATCTACAAAGAGTTGCCATTATCTGAGCTGGTGGCCAGTATGCATCACTATCCAGATAGCCTCGCATAGGAACTCAACCAACTCGTGTGCTCTTGGGACTTATATATTATTGGGGTTATGTAAGCCACAGCTAACATTCACATGTGGGGTTTGGGTGACACCTCTGTTCTCACCCAAGATAAAAGCTACTTTGTTCTTGGGAGACAGATAACGTAAACAACATCTAATACTGTATGAAACCTATCTGAAAGACTAAAATATCCTCATGGTGCCATCTCAACATAACCAGCTGTAAGAAACTACTAGCATATAGATAAAGCATATAGATAAAATAGCAGTTAGGATTTATTTTTTTAACCGATAAGTACGAAACTACTATTATATAGAATAATAGGAAATAAACAGAATTAGCTTCTTAAAGATCTCAATCCCACAAGATCTTAAGGCATTAGCTGCTCATGAGAGGGGCTATTGCCGGGCACTATCTCCTCAAAATCATAATGATCTTCCACAAAGTGGAAATACAGACTGTAAGCAGAAGCCAGGGATGTGCATTTCAACCAATACATTTTGGGAGGAGAAATGGGGGGACAGGAATGCCAATTTGACTAAAATATTGGAGAGCAGATAAGCCTCGCCTCACATAATCAATCACAAGACACGCAAACACACACCCTTTGAACGGCAATGCCCATCAACTTGGAGGGGGGGTCACCCCTTCAAATATTTTATTGAGGGAATCAAAGGGATCTCAGCGCTTAGGGGTTGGCTCCTGTGCAGGGGGAACCAAAAGGGTTAGGCACAGTGCTTTTTTTTTGGTTTAGGGGTACTCTCATTTTCCTACTCATATTGAGATACTGCCCCTCAATGAGGCCAAACTTAGATTCACAAAATGTTTAGGGGTATGCGTACTTCTGTACCTCCCCTCCCCAGAAAAAAGCACTGGTTAGGCACATTCTGAGCTTTATGCTGATTCTGATATTCTACGGCAAATAGTTTAGTTATCCAGCCATTTGTTCAGCCCTGAAATTAAACCATACATATGATAGGAAACCCAGAGATGAACCCCTATCTCCCCCAACCACTTAGATGCTCATTTATAATTTATTTCAGCTTGCATAAAAGGGAAGGGGCTACAGAACCATATTTGTTTTCTAGCACCCTCCAAAATGCGATCAGCAAAATGTTGAAATATTACTTTCCCCTGAATTTCAGCAGGTGGGTGTGTCCATGGTATTGTGTTTCAGGCAGCCTGAAGAAGTAGAACAATATGTCGGATATTCTCTCTCTCTCTCTCTCACACACACACACCTTTTTGTAAAGAAATTAAAATATTTCTCTCTCCTACAGGGGTAATTGACGGAGACATGTACCTTAAAAGAGCTACAAGCTACAAGGGAGATATACTGCTCAAAATAACACATTCCGCCAACATATGATTGAATAGAAAAATGTTTCTATTCCTTCTACCTTTTATCACTCTTAAGGTGAATCCATGCCAAAGGATCACTCTGTTGGGTACTTCCTGCATCCTATGCCTGGTGCGTGTCCACTACAGTAAAAAAATAATTTATGCTTAGTTTCAAAGTTCTTTGAGATAGGGAACTTTAATTTTTTGGTTTTATTTTTGAGAGTTTGCTTATGTGTCTTATAATTTTTTTTTAATCTCTCCCTCCCTCCCTCCCTCCCTCCCTCCCTCTCTCTCTCTCTCTCTCTCCTCCCTCTCTCTCTATATATACATACATATGAGTATTGTGGGCTCAGAGAATAGCTTTTGCCATGCCAATGGCATGCTTGGATTTGTCTTATAGACATAGTCACCTCATATGAGGACAGGCAGATATAAGTGCATGTTGAACTCCTACAAGCATGAGCCACTGGCAGGACACTAGAGCACATTTGTGTGACTCCAAAGTGGCCACACATATGCAAGAAGACATCACAGACCCTCCAAGTGTCCCTGTTTTCCAGGGACGTCCCTGATTGAGAGAAGCCATCCCGGTTTTTGGTTTGATCAAGGAATGCCCCACTTTTTATTAGGATGTCCCTATTTTCATTGAAAAAATGTTGGAGTGTATGAAGTTATCTGAACCCCGAGCCATCTGACGGCAGTCCTATATAGGGAAGTTTTTTTTAAAAAATGTTTGTTTTTTTATATATATGTTGGAAGTTGCCCAGAGTGGCTGAGTCAACCGAGTAAGGTGTGTGGGGTATAAATAGTAAAATTATCATTATGGAGGGTATGACATCATGTTATTAAGTCTGAGTGTAAACACACCCATAGGTTCTTTTCCGTTCTCTGATAAGTCTTTCAATTATTTGTAAATCATCTCACCTCAGATAGAAGGTCCTCCAGTAAAGAATCGGAGCATGATGGTTCATCAGAATACAGAACTCCAAATGACAGATCCTGGGCAATGCAATTGAAGAGGGTGATGTCATCACATAGCAGAGGATGAAGTTCACCACTCCCTGACATGGCTATAATGCTGTACATGAACCAGGAGTTCCATCGGCATGCCATTATCCATGAAGGCCCAGTTTTTGTGATTCTTCCCCCTGTTTTCTTTGGCCACCAGGACTTTAACAAAAATGAAACCCAGCTTATATATATATATATATATATATGCTTTCGTAGATTTTCGTAGACACCAAAACCTGCATATATATATATATATATATATATTCTGGACATGATTCAAAATCATTGATTAAATAAACTGCGATTAATTTTTGGATCCGGTTTCTCTGAGGTCAGTGTTAGCAGAAGCAACAAACATTTTGGAATACTCAGCTGATCACAAACAAATAACATGGTTAAAACATTAAGGGAATGTTTGGGGATTGTATTCAACTAAGCTCTGCTCAGAGTATACCCATAGAAGTTAATTGATATAAGTAACTTAGGCCCATTAATTTCCATGGATGTACTCAGAGTAGAACTTAGTTGGATACAACCATTTGACTTTGCACAATTTAGGAAGCATTTTTATACCACCTAGTTCAAAATTAGGGTTTAAGGTCTGTCTAGTCCTCTTAATGGGACGCGGGTGGCGCTGTGGGTTAAAGCCTCAGCGCCTAGGACTTGCCGATCGAAAGGTCGGCGGTTCGAATCCCTGCGGCGGGGTGCGCTCCCGTCGTTCGGTCCCAGCGCCTGCCAACCTAGCAGTTCGAAAGCACCTCTGGGTGCAAGTAGATAAATAGGGACCGCTTACCAGCGGGAAGGTAAACGGCGTTCTGTGTGCTGCGCTGGCTCGCCAGATGCAGCTTGTCATGCTGGCCATGTGACCCGGAAGTGTCTGCGGACAGCGCTGGCTCCTGGCCTCTTGAGTGAGATGGGCGCACAACCCTAGAGTCTGGCAAGACTGGCCCGTACGGGCAGGGGTACCTTTACCTTTTTAGTCCTCTTAATTTCTAAATCAACGTCTTACAGTTCAGCTAAAGGTAGTTTTGGCTTGGCTTGAGATCCTGTGCTTAGCTGTGAATGCCACAGCTCAGAAAACAATCGTATGTGGGACTTTCCCTCCATAAGCTACTTTAACTCATTGGGATTTGTTCATGAGTAAACATAAAAGCCACTCCTTCCAGGTGCTGCTACCAAGCTTTACACATGGACCAAAACCATGTGCTAAAATCAAGTGTTTTCTTATGCGCTAAGATGCTTTTTGTTTTACTCCAAAAGCTGCCTTTCTGTTTCAGTAGAAGAAACTGCTCTGAATAGGCCCTTCTTTGAACCCATGAATTAGGTCCCCACCCCATGAAATTAAAGGGGCACATTTAACAGCTTTATATGTACAGTGGTATACATACAGGGGGACGCGGGTGGCGCTGTGGGTAAAAGCCTCAGCGCCTAGGGCTTGCCAATCGCATGGTCGGCGGTTCGAATCCCCGTGGCGGGGTGCGCTCCCGTTGTTCGGTCCCAGCACCTTCCAACCTAGCAGTTCAAAAGCACCCCCGGGTGCAAGTAGATAAATAGGGACCGCTTACTAGCGGGAAGGTAAACGGCGTTTCCGTGTGCGGTTCTGGCTCGCCAGATGCAGCTTTGTCACGCTGGCCACGTGACCCGGAAGTGTCTCCGGACAGCGCTGGCCCCCGGCCTCTTGAGTGAGATGGGCGCACAACCCTAGAGTCTGTCAAGACTGGCCCGTATGGGCAGGGGTACCTTTACCTTTACCTATACATACAGGATTCTGAACTGCGGCATTAATAAGCAACAATTCTATCCCAATAAGCTTAACAAAACATATTATCAGTCATACATCTCCTCCCAGTGTAGGTCTCATTGTTCCAGTGCTGAGGGTCTGGCTGACAAAACCCTATTTTTCCTTTATATTTATCTGTGGACCCCAACCAGAATAAACATTTTCAGTGTTGTGAGCTTGAAAAATAGTTTAGGGGAAGTGTTTCAGCAGTGTTTTGTTTGCCACATGCTATCTTTTCTTAGGTATACATGCAATTCATCAAACATACTAAAACCAAAGCAAAATGTTAGTTTTCTGGAACACAGAAAGTACAGAAACCAGGATCCAGCCTAAGTGATACTCTTCTAATGTCATTTTGATTTCACTGGGATATCATTAAATGGGCCCTGAAAGGGCTTCACTTTAGCCGGATCAAAAATTCCCAATATTATTTCTTGAATCTCATATCTTTATTCACTTTTACGTTTTTCACTATGCCAGATTTGAAGATTTGTAAACCACATCCTAATGTTATAACAGGCAAAGCCTGGGGAAATGATTGGCTTATTTAATGTTATTATCCTTTGATCTTGGTAGCAGACAATTTGGGTGAGTGGCACAAAGGGTAAATTCGAGAAGGAGGAGACGAAGAAGGAGGAAGAGGAGGAGGAAGTGTGTCTCTCAAGAAATTGTAGTGTGGCAGATTGTTGAAACCAAATAGGTTTTGCAGTGTAAACCTATGTATGAGAAGTAAATACAGGACTGGATTCTTTGATTATTATCTGGAACCGACCACAGCAAAAATGATTTGCTCAAAAGTGCTATCCTTGGGCTTTCCCCTACTTCTATATGACTTTCTGGCTTGTACTGAGTGCTATTAATAAGCTACAGCGTCAGAATAATCAGTGAAGCTACTTTTGTATGAATCACTGGAAGATGGCCTTGTAGGTCAAATATATAAAACCATTTAATTATGAAGTGGTAAGTATGCCAAACAAATACTGAAAGAAAAACGGGATTTACATGGTGGGATATCAAATGAACAGTAGGCAGTACTTGTTTTGATTAAATACTAAGTTGGTTGCAAGAGAACATTTAAGAAATCTTGTTACTAGTATCTTTAGCAGTTTAGCATTAGAAGCAACTTATAACACCAATGAAATCAATTATTCAGTAACAACCATCCTCTTACTTACTTTCATTGAAGCTGGAGATATCCCCATGACAGGCTCAGAGATATGAATTCAGTGTACAGTCGGTAATTAATTGAACAGCTTTGAAAGTGACCACAAGAAAACACTTCCATCCACAGAACTGCCATTGTGCTCACAATTCATTTCAAAGGAAGAAGAAGATCATTGTGCCAACAAACGGGGCAATTCATGTTTGCAAACGCTTCTTTGAGCACTGCAGTTTGTAGGAGTTGTGGATTGAGGCAACATTTTTCAGATCAGACTTCAGCAGTTGAACGATGCATTTTGGAGAAAAGAAATTCATAAACGTTCATGGAAATTATTTAGGTGCGTCAGTTCAGATCAGGACATTTGTATGTGCCCACGTGCACGCACAATGCCACTGAAGAATATACTTAGCATCTCCCTTGAAATCAATTATGGATTAAGAAAAAAATAGCCCACACAATTGCCGTTTGTCTAATTCTAAGAGAAAATGATTTTCTTCCTTCCAACTCAACACAAGGCATAAAGGCAAATAGCCTATGCATCTTTGACAGAGAAGTCCCTTGTACGCTAATGCTTGAAAAAATCAATAGGAAATATGGGTACTAAACAAAAACAGCAGAACTAGAAAATGGAATCCTATAGAATTTTTGTAGGGTGGGTGTTGCTTGCTTTAAATTAAATTGTCCATCAGAAGGCATAGAAGGTAAACAGAGGCTTTTTTTTAGGCGTAGTGTTTTTATTTCATCTGAGGCCTGACCCAGCCCCTTCTTTATACACACCACTGGGTACACACAGCAATATGTGTACAGGAGTGGGATCAGTAATTAAGGGGATTCTCACACTAAAAGCAAACTATGCACAAGAGGAAAGAGAAGATGGGGCTGATGCCTGAATTATCCCATTTCCTTCTGCATTTCTCGAAACTGAGTTTCTATTTTAGAAACTAACTTTTAGAAAAGTAATTCCCAGCATTCTTTAGTTTTGCAGTACTGCGTTCACTGGAAACAAAATATTTCCATCCAGAGATTTTTCAAAAAAATAAATTTGGCTCTAAGTGTCATACTTATTATTTTTACAACAAGCATTTTTAAAACAAACAAACAAATAAACTTCTTACGTAAGTCTTTCTTCCTTTAAAAAAAAATAGATTTAGCTAATCCTATCCTTATGGCATCTGTGCAAATACTTATATCTAGTTCTGAGCATTGATTAAGGAAACCTATGCAACATTTCTGTACACGTTCTTGAAGCAACCAACCAGGGCGTCACGATCAGACAGAAAACAAAGTTAGCTATTGCATTGTGAAGAGCATTACATTCTAGACTGCCAGCAGCCTACGCAAGCCAGAGCACTGCGGACGTTAGACACTGACACTTTAAATGCAACAACACTTTAGGTATTTTCACAGTCAGAAAACCATTACAACATGGAAACATTTTGGGCAAAATGAGACACAGCTTCCTACTGTTTTGTTATAGTTTTGTTAACACACAACTGAGGAGGATCAGAAGTGTCTTGTGAAAAGACTTGTACTCCTTCTGCAAGTATATCCCATTTCCCCCCAAACAGATGCAGACTATGGGCTATATCATCTAATCTATTGGTGGTCAACCATTTGAATTGTGGGTCACCAAGACCCATAAGTCTGCAGACTGGAAGCAGTGCAATCAGTAGCTGAAATTAAGAGTCCCCCAGGTGTGTCTCTTTTGATGTATGAAAGCAATTGTTCTGCAGCCTACCACAGGCAAGAGCGTCATTTGACAAATGTAAACACAGCCATGGCTCAATAGTAGTTTCCTTCTGCACATAGAAAACCAGTGCAAACCTAGAGGGTGTGGATGAAACACCAACAGTGCAATCCTATGTATCACTACTCGGAAGTAAATCCTATTATGTTCAGTGGGACTTACTCCCAGGTAAGTGTGTATAGGATTGCAGCCTAAGAGTTTTATCTTAACAGGTTTATGTGTAATTAGGTATGTGTGACTAAGTAGGGGCAATCTCAGGAAAAACTAGGAGTGATTGTCTTCACCTGATCACATAGTTGGTATGGTCACAGATGTCAATTTGCTGCCACACATCAAAACTGGCACAAATATTGTCCAGTTTTTTGTTTGTTTGGGTGGTGGTGGGGAAATATGTAAACACAATCTCTTATCATTATCCATATCTAAGCCCCCTTGAGGTTAGAATGTTGCTTTTTCCACACATTTTGTGAAATTGGTGGGGATCTTTGCAAACAAGATACTATCAGTACTAAAGATATCAGTACTAAAAGGCAGCCAACTTTGCTATGAAATTCGTTACCTAAGTTGCTGAAGACTTAAAAGGCAGGCTTTCCAAAATATTGTCAGCTGATCATCCTAATGGCACCAGCTATTGTTCCTCGACTGTTCCAGTATTAGGCTACATTGAATAAATAGTTTAACCTCAGCTCTTCAATCAGTTGCTTGCAAAATGTTTCGACTCTGTGATTCACTTGTGAGGGCTGATGAATTTATTGAGCTCCTTTTCAGCATCTTGTTTATTATGTCCTTCCATGTCTTCTTGTACTGGTGTCGTAACAAAGAGTACACAAAGGGATCTGAAACAGCTTTGCTATAAGCCAGACACTTGGAAATAACTCCCCAGTGTGCGTTGATGGGGACTATGGATGATAATTCTACCAGTCTGTCAAGAAAAGAGTAAATATGATTGTCAGATAAACATATCAAGGACTAGAACGTCCTAATTAGACCAAAATTCAAACATTCTATTCCCACCAGCATTAAAGCCTCTGAGAATACTACAATTGTCCATAGTTATTGCTTGTCCACAGCATCTGGTATATAATAATAATAATAATAATAATAATAATAATAATAATATACTACTTATACCCCGCCCATCTGGTTGGGCCTCTCCAGCCACTCTGGGCGGCTTCCAAGACAATATGAAAATCACAATAAAAGATCAAACATCAAAAATTTCCCTAAACAAGGCTGCCTTCATATGTCTTCTATAAGTCAGATAGTTGTTTATTTCCTTGACATCTGATGGGAGGGCGTTCCACAGGGAGGGTGCTGATACCGAGAAAGCCCTTTGCCTGGTTCCCTGTAACATCACTTCTCTCAGGGAGGGAAGCACCAGAAGGGCCTCGGAGCTGGACCTGAATGATGGGGGTGGAGATGCTCCTTCAGGTATACTGGGCCAAGGCTATTTTGGGGTTTAAGGGTCAGCACCAACACTTTGAATTGCGCTTGGAAACATACTGGGAGCCAATGTAGGTCTTTATATGGTCTCAGCGGCCCCTCCCAGTCACCAGTCTAGCTAAATTGTTTCTGAAAATACAGGAGACACCCCCAAAGTGGTGTCCTCTGGATGCTATGGACTACAATTCCCTTAATCCCTGACTATTTGCCATACTGTCTGGGTTTTGATGGGACTCAACAACTGGAGGACATGAGGTTGTGACGTAGAGGTTCCCACTTAGTTAACTTGACTGTATATGTACAGATACAAAAAACCACCCATACTTTTATATCTGAATACCTATATCACCAACATGATATAGTTAGCACATACAAATAAATTGTGCTTATTGTCTCTGTATCTACTCAAGTACACAATTGCAGAGGAAAACCATACTGGGGACTGGCCATTTTAAGGGAGATAGTTGCAGCCATCTCTATAAATGTACCTTTCCTTATTTCAAGAAAACGATTATCCAGAGAAATGGGTATAGCTGACTCAATTGCATTTGAAATAATTCCCATGTGAAGGAGCACATTTATTATTCATTTAAAATATGCTGCTTATCTTTGTAAAACCAAGACAGCTTCAGTTACTTAAAACAAGATACTAAAAACATGTAATAAAAATGAGACTAAAACAAAACAATTTCTGTTGGAGATGGGGGGGGGGAGTTTTTGCTTGTCTCTGAAAAGGCAAGCTAGCACAAAGAGCAGTGAATTTCAGAAATGGTATTTTGAAACTGGTAATCCATATGCAATTTTCAGGACCTGTGGATTCAGGACCTGTGGGGAAGCAGGTATTTGAAACACCCCACCTCCTAATACTTCCTGAAAAATCCCCATAGCAATGTTGTCTCTGTGAACATATATATGTCACTCAAGGAATAATTCTGAGGACCCTCTGAACTGGACAATGTTCTCCATCTTGGGCTGACCTAGTGAATTGCTGGAGTGTGCACTTGCCTACATAAACTACAGTGGGCCAGATACAAACAAGGACTGGGTTCTGCTGTTTTAATAGTTTGTATGGCAAGGTCCAGGGACGCGGGTAGCGCTGTGGGTAAAAGCCTCAGTGCCTAGGGCTTGCCGATCGAAAGGTCGGCGGTTCGAATCCCTGTGGCGGGGTGCGCTCCCGCTGCTCGGTCCCAGCGCCTGCCAACCTAGCAGTTCGAAAGCACCCCCGGGTGCAAGTAGATAAATAGGGACCGCTTACTGGCGGGAAGGTAAACGGCATTTCCGTGTGCGGCTCTGGCTCGCCAGATGCAGCTTGTCACGCTGGCCACGTGACCCGGAAGTGTCTCCGGACAGCGCTGGCCCCCGGCCTCTAGAGTGAGATGGGCGCACAACCCGAGTCTGTCAAGACTGGCCCGTACGGGCAGGGGTACCTTTACCTTTACCTTTTATGGCAAGGTCCGCCTGTTAAATTCCTTCTTCACAAGCATATAAGGGGTGGGAGCCTGACACTTTCCCCCCTATCTTGTCATCTTAATATAAACTAAGAGTGGGGAGGAGAGATGAAAACAGGACACCTTGTGGATCCTTCCTCCCCATAGATGTTGCACCTGTAAAGGGAAGAGTCATGCCCTAGGTGAACACTAGTCCCCTCGCACACCATTACTGCTAGTGCAGAGGTAAATCAGAATGGACGCAGGAGCTGAGCTTATTTATAGGCACTGTTACCCAAGGGGAACATTTGAAGGTAATGGTATACTATTGATTTTAAAGTGAACAATTAGTTCCACTTTCTTATAATTACTTTCTGTCAGGTTCCAGATGGGATTTTTCTGTCATATGCTATGAGTGCCACTCTTGTGTGTAAGATCTCCATTAAGAAGCATTTCAATTTATGCAGGCCATTCTGTGGTTTTTTTTCTAGAAAGGCTTTCACTGAATAGGTTAAGGAAGTCACAATGTAGGAAAAAGCATAATTCATACTCTCATTGCTATCTGAATACTTTCCCCGCTCGAAAGGTAGAGTTATTGATATTCTGATGGAAGTTGATGAAAGCTCTGCGAATACCCTGAAACACTAAGATGCAAAGTGGTTTATATCTTACTTGCTATCAATCAATGTTATGAATTCCAACTAACCTTTTATAAAAGAACATCGAGAAGAAATGGCCTTCAAAGGGGAGGGGGAGTTTAGACACTTATTACTACATTTCCTTGAGTGCCCTTCCTTTCCCCTCAAATTTTCATACCATACAACACTTGGAAACACAACAGATATTGTTTTTATTTTTAAATTGTGTCTGTGTCTTATATCCCACTGGATATAATTTATATATTTGCACTCTAATTGAGATAATTAGCTGTACGTGCACAAGCATATGCTCATGGACTTAAATTAGATGCTTATCCAAATGCAGGTGTCTTTTACGGAACCAGGCACAGTGTGCCCAGGCCATCAGCATGGGGAGAGGGAATGAGAAGTAAGGAGAAATAATGACAAGGGATCACAAGCACGCGATCAAAATGGCCCCAACATTGTTGATTACAGATATCAGTAGGTTTTGGCATAAGCATTGGGTTTATATCCTGAACCAGCTAACCCACTTGTTGGGTGATTTTCCTTCAGGGTCAATCCCTCTGGTGCTAATCAATTCTGGGTAAACCCTCTGGAACGCAAATTTGGGGAGTTCTGTGGTCCATTAGCCCTTGTCTGGGGATTTGGACAGAATCCATCCCCCTGGACTCTTTTAACCGGGTATCCTGAAACTTTGACCGATGAAACGGGGGTTAATGAAATGGGGCTGAATGAAGCCAGGTTTGGGGAGGCTTCTCCCAGGTCTGCCCTAAACTTGCCTGCAGTTGGGCAATTACAATTTTAAAGTTTCACGGTGGGGCCTGCCCTCCCATGTGGCCAATGGAGGAGTTTCGTGGGCTGTAAACTCTTGTGAGGGCAAGCAGATGCCGCTTGACATACCTGCAGCCACACTGGGCCACAACTGACACACACACAAACACACACACACTTGTTGGAACTGGTAAGCAGGCTTTATTCACCCTACATTGTTTTCAGTCGGGTGTATGTTCAGATGCATATCAAAATGCACATTTCCATCCATATTCTGATGCAATTGATCCTGTATGACTCCAGCTGAATGACTCCAGTTGAATTGTGAAATATCCCTATTTTCCCCATACATCCATACAAACAGTTTTTAAAGCAGTTTTTCAGCTAATAGTAGTTTTGGGGAAGGTTCATTGCTCAATGGCAGAGAATCTGCCTAGCATGCAGAAGGTTTAAAGTTTAGTCCCTGGCATCTCCAGGTAGGGCTTTTAAAAAATGCTTTTTTAAAAAACATTTTGAAAAATGCATTGAAATCGCCATAACTCACCATCGCCATCTAGTGTCACATTTGTATGCTGCAGTTTACAACACACTTAAAACGTTTATTTGCAGCTGTATAGCTGAGTCCTCAGTTCTGGCACCTCTCAGGTGACCGCCATTTCCATTATAAGAGAACAAGGGAGGCATTGATGGTGAGTTCCGGCACCTCTTTTTCTAGAAAAATGGCACTGCATATATGTATTGGATTTCACTACCAGTAACACTACCTAGTTTGTAAAATCAGTAGCAACTTACATGTAAACTTAAAGGTGGCTGAAATTTAATAAACACTTATTTAATAAGCACTTATAACACTGACATTTAACAATGGATTGCACAGGGGTGCGGCAGTCTTTCACGCTAGAATCAGTGGACCTTGAATGTGGACATATTAAGCATATATTGAGTCAGACTGTGAGTTCATCTAACTCAGCATTGTCTATACTGCTTATACTGACTGTCAGTGGCTGTTTAGGGTCTCAGACAGGGGTCTTTCTTAGCCCAACCTGAAGATACCAAGGATTGAATCTAGGTCCTCTTGGGTACAAAGCATGATTATTTATTAAATTGTTTATTAAAAGTGTTAGCTGCTTTATCTTGCCCAAGGCAAACCAAAGCGCTTTCAACCAGACAAGCACATGCTGTATTGCTGAACTACATCCCCCCTCCAAGTATTTGATTTTTATTTAATAAGCACTTCTGAGTATCCATCCACTATATAAAAAAAATATGGAAGTGGAAGAAAGATGAGTGACAAGCTTCCTACAGTCTTGACTTTTATCAGGGCACTGAACATTGCTGTTAATCCCACTCCAAGTTTAATGGGTGCCAAGATATTATCATTTTTTCCATGAAGCGCTTGGTCAAAAATAAATCAACACATTCCAAATGTTCAGAGAAGCTAACATAGCCTTTTAGCTCATTCCCTCTTATGTTGCTTCTGAAGCACAGTAATCCACATTTCAATAATTCATTTCCACCAGGCCAATTTTGAGTGAGGTTTATAAATGCAGAGGTTGCTTTTTTTCTTTTCCTTTTTGCTTCTTGCCTGCAACATAGCAACAAAGCAGGGGTTTCTCTGAACCTCTCTGATACTGGATGCAAAAATGTTCATAATTCAACAAGGAATGTCATAATATCTATTATTTATTTATTTTACAATTGTCATTCAAAATTAACATTGTTGTGCATCTTCTAGCACTTTTTAATCAGGAATAAGCTGTGAACAGCAATACTGGTTTGTAGCTCCAGGTCTGAAAAACTGAACTTTTCTCATAAGACTGATGCATCTTAAGAATATGGAGAGGCAACCTCAAATGTTATTCCACAATGGCTTCTAAATGTTGGGGTGGTGTGCAAAAAAGGGGGTATCACCAGTTATAGCTGAAGGGGGCCAAGAAACATTGTGGAAGAGAGTAGATACGGTAAATGACAAAATTCAAAGGGCTCTTGGATATTATCCGAATTAAATTGCCCAAACAGTTCAAATATATAAAAGGATGTCACATAGAGGAGGGAGAAAGGTTGTTTTCTGCTGCTCCAGAGAAGCGGACATGGAGCAATGGATCCAAACTACAAGAAAGAAGATTCCACCTAAACATTAGGTGTCTTCCTGACAGTAAGAGCTGTTCGACAGTGGAATTTGCTGCCAAGGAGTGTGGTGGAGTCTCCTTCTTTGGAGGTCTTTAAGCAGAGGCTTAACAACCATATGTCAGGAGTGCTCTGATGGTGTTTCCTGCTTGGCAGGGGGTTGGACTCGATGGCCCTTGTGGTCTCTTCCAACTCTATGATTCTATGATTCCATGTGCATGGGTGTGTTTTTTAAAGAAAAATGTGTTGGGATTACATTTTTCTACCTCATAATAATCAGATACCGTGGGTCCTGAATGAAAACCCATGCAGTAAGCTCTTCTCCTATTCAGTATATTCTCTTGCATTAGCACTCCTATTAAGCTTTCCATCCATCCATCCATCCATCCATCATACACTGTGGATTCTGTCACTACTAAGGGCATTTGGGGCTGTTTTTGTACTTTGGCAAAGCTTGGAGTTTCTTTAAAACTGATGATATCTCCCCCTTATACATGGAGGATGCCATTTTGATAATAAGGACCAGGACTCAGAAAATGCTGGCAGTCCATTCAAATGCTCGCTGTAAACTTGGAACATCTGTGTGCGTTAATTTAAAGTAGCCACCATGTGTCCCAGAACATCTGCTCTGCATCACACAGCACAACATACCCACTGAAATGTGCGGACAACATTCTGAATTCTATGTGATCTTCTTTGATGAGAGTCTAACTGTATTCTCCTTAATCCATATCAAAGACTTTCCTACTGGGGTGCTGGATTTGATCCCTTCCACTAACAAATCTTTGGCCACAGTGGAGACCATAAAATGCGGGCGCCTAAGATGGCAACACTTCTCAGCACAGTGGAAAATGCTTAGCATAATTTTGACAAGCAGAAGTTTAATCGTCTGCTGATACAAATAACAGGAGTGCGCTGCGGATGGAAATGAGAAAAGACGAGCTTAAACCTACCTTGTGATTACATATGGTGCAAAACAGAGTATAAAAGTGCCAATAAATGTACTGATCTTCTTGGTTGCTCGTTGTCTCCGCCTCTTCTGTTCTTCTAGGCATCGCTCTCTTACGCTGTTTTTTGACATAAAAACATGAAAGCAAATTATCATTTCAAACGGCATTTCATCACCTTGACATAGAAGCCACGCTCAGGCGTTTGCCTGAAGATGCACAAAAACAACGAGCGCTGACACAGTAAAAGGGGCTGAGGGGGAGCAAAGTAGCTGTGAGCTCCTTTTCGGGTGCCCACATACTCACATGGCCTTGCTGGGTCAGGGGTGGGGAAAACCAAGCCTGAAAGCTGACTATAACCCTCCAGACTTCTCTGTCTCATCCTTGGAATTCTTCCCAAGCCACGCCATTCATTGGCCCTGCTTGGTGCCCCAAATACGTTTGCCTTTCTGGAATGTGTCCTTGAATTCTGATAATGGCTGGTGGAATGAGGAACAGGATCCTCGTCCTACTGCCATGCCAACTCTGGTTTCTACCATAGTCATAAAGATTTGGCCTGACTTTTACCCAACCCTACATCCCACCTTAGTTATTTCACTGGGCCAGATTGTGCCTGCCTGGGCAATCCGCCTTTGTGATGGAATGGGGCCTAATATTGCCAACTACTATGGCAAGTAGCCTCATGGATTTGTAGTGAAATGATTATTTGCTTTAGATTAGAGGAATTCGATGCTCTTTTAAAATGTGACACTCAGCTGGGACATAGAAAATGCATTGATACAAGCCCTTCTGTAGAATTCTGTAGGTTGGGGAATTTTTTTTACCTAACTCAAATAGGAGAATCTTTTGAGCAGTAACATATTCATCTCTTAATATAAAGCAATGCTTTCAAACTATACCTTTTCAATAAGCAGGCTTCTAGTAAGTAAACCGAACATTTGACATACTAAGGAAAAGATCATATTTTGAAACATTATTAATACATTCTTATAGTTGTAATTCAATTAACAACTTAGGTGAAAGAGTTTTGAAATCTGACTCTGATGTAACTCAAAGAATTTCAGCCGGGGAGCTCAAGATCCAGATAGAAGGATGCCACAAGAAGTTTGGCACTGGGCATTGCATAGTGGACTTTCAAAATTAACTTGGGTTAATCCAACAGAAAATGTATCTAAATTCGGTACTGGTGACAAGAGATGCTTCCTTCCCAGGGCTAGTAACTTCTTTAATTGGTATGAGGAGGGATTGGCATACCCTCCAAGTGTCCTTATTTTCCAAGGGCAATCCCAGAATCATGAAAGGCATCCTGGCTTCTGATTTGACCATGGAATGTCCCTATTCCCCCTGCCAGTGCCACCTCCAAGCTCAAGGAAGAGGATGAGCCAGTAGCAGCAGAAGTGGCAGCTACAAGCTGCCCACCTTTTCTCTTAGACAGCTCATAGGACCGAAGGAATGGGGTGTGGTGGGGGCGGGTCACCCCAGGTGTCACCACTGAGGGGGGTGACAAAATGACTGGCAGCACTCACCACGGGTCCTGCAGCGCACCCAAGCCATGCGTCTCTCCTGAGAGTGGTGCAGTGGCTTGGGCACCAGCAGGCTCCGTGCTGCCCCAAACGGTCCACCCGCTGACTCCCCCTCAGCTGTAGGGTAGCTGGGAGGAGGCAGGCAGACCCCTGCAGGGTGTCCTGCCCGGCTGGCCCTGCCCCTGGGCGCAGGGCACACATGCCACCCCAGGCGCCCGATCGGTTTGCTCTGCCGCTGGCCGGCTCTGAGGTGCAGACAGAGAGCAGGCTTGCCCTGGGCAGGAAGAAAGGGGAGTGTAGCACAAGGAGTCTTTATTTATTCATCTATTTATTTTTTTAAAAAATCCTTAGTAAACTTTCCCCTTTCTAAACTTTATTTATTGGTATGTGTTTTTCTTTTTGTAAATCTACCATAGGATAAAATAAAATAAAAATTGGGATTAAGGGTTTTTTTTGGGATGGTGTGTTGTTTCCCATTGGTGTGGTGGTGGTAGAAATGCTCTGTAAGGCGTGGGAGAGAAAAAATGGGGGGTTGAGGAGGGTCAGTTGCAGAAATGAGGGAGAAATGTCCCTATTTTCATCCGAGGAATGTTGGAGGGTATGCAATGATGGTACCTTTGCATCGAGGGAAAGGGATAAATTGATCTGGCCTACATACTGTGGTTCTCCTCCCCTCATCTCATGACTGCTATTTAAAAAATAAAAACATGCACTTTAAAAACTTAGACACATTTAACGTCACATGAATTTTAGCCTTAACAAAAGTATTGAATGAGGTTTAGGGTTAAAGATGTGGAGACCATAATCCCAACCAGTCGTATTTTGTGGTGTCCTTGCCTACATGCTTGCTTTGCAGTCTGCAAAATCTGAACATTTATCCAGCTCCTCTCAGGCTGTCATACATAGCTGGAAGGCTGTGGCCAGGTTGATAGGTTAGAAATTGCACAGGCCTGACAAAAGAAGAGACTTGGCTGTGAGCAGAGCACTGTGAATTTTGAATACTTAAATAATAAATGATCATATATTATTGTGCTGTCCAAATGAACTGGGGTTTTTTTAATGCTTTCATTTAATATTTCTGTTAATCATTGCTAAATGAACACTACCATGTCTGACTTCTTTCTTTGGGATGTTATTTGAAGAGCCATGAGGGGCAAAAACACCTTGGAGATTGAATAGTGTATATGATTTCTATGTTGCTACATTTGGTGCAGGAATATTGAATATACATGGCATACAATTGGCCTGAGGTGGTCCAGAGTTGAGCCAATTCTGGGCTGTTTTCAGCCATGTGAAAAGCTATTAGGGTCTTAAAATAGCCACGATGTCCTGATAAAACACTTGGCTGAAATCAGTGCTATTTCTGTACGCAGAGTAGAAAGGTAGCTGAAGAGAAACAAGCCTTTTAGTTCAGGTTGCCTTTGACATTTAAATAGGGTTAAATGCAACTCTTTAAATCAGTCACACGTATTACATTAGTCATTTCTTTAGGTGTGATGTCATAATAGATTGCTGCCCCTGAGCTGCTCCTTTCAGAATTGGATCTCAGTACATTTTGAGTAGGTTTGCAGGAAGACTGTGGACACTTGCAACATATGTCTGGGCAATGTGTAGGGCCAAAATCTTACTCCGCTGATTAAATCAAGAAATGTCTACATGACTGATGATGCACATTGATGATGCACATTGATGGAAAGAGGTAGAAAAATATATATGCTATGCTTATTATTCCCAAGCCAGTCTCCATTCAATAGATAATTTAACAGATCACATTTTGCCTGATTGACATAGCTTTTCTTGGAATGAGCTGCAACAGACTTGTTAATTTTGGGTAAATTATGAATGCTTGGGCCAGGTTTAAGAGCAGATGACCCAGGCGTTATCTGTTTCAGAATATGACTCCTGTAAACATATATATATTGGCATGCTCCTGAAAGGGACATACCTGCACAGACGATTTGGCTCGCTATTTACTATTTTGTCCATGCTGTGCATCAAAGCAAATGTGTGCCTGCAATATTGACTAGACGGTTCATATAGGATATAGTGGTTCATATCCTGAGGAATCTGAACATAGATCTTGTCAAGCTGCCTTATTTGCAAGTATCTTGCCCGTGCAATGGGCTCATGGGGAAAATAGCTGTCCCATGAGCCCTTGCAAAAGGAAGGGAAAGACTATATAAGGCTGCTTCCTCTGGTGCTCAGAGCCATGTTGCCTTGAGAGCTTCCCACCCACCTCCCCTTGGGCTAGAGCCTTCCCAGAACAAGGTTCTGCACTGGCCAACTCCAAAGGAACGTGGGTGGCGCTGTGGGTTAAACCACAGAGCCTAGGACTTACTGATCAGAAGGTCGGCAGTTCGAATCCCCGCGACGGGGTGAGCTCCCATTGCTTGGTCCCTGCTCCTGCCCACCTAGCAGTTCAAAAGCACGTCAAAGTGCAAGTAGATAAATAGGTACCGCTCCAGCGGGAAGGTAAATGGAGTTTCCGTGCGCTGCTCTGGTTCGCCAGAAGCGGCTTAGTCATGCTGGCCACATGACCCAGAAGCTGTACGCCGGCTCCCTCGGCCAATAAAGCGAGATGAACAACACAACCCAAGAGTCGGTCACAACTAGACCTAATGGTCAGGGGTCCCTTTACCTTTACCTTTGGCAAGGTTCAGCACTGGCCAACTCCAATGGAACAGGTTTGGTGCAGTGCAAGTCTAGCGGACCCATCAATGTGGGGTTTGTGGAATGATGAACCAATCCTGGCCTCAATGCCATGCCAACCTATGCCTGATCCAGCAGGCTTATGACTTCTTATGGGAAAGACCAGAGATTGCATGATCTCCAATGCACTTTCAGTGAGTGCAGCAGCTCCCATCGCTACACCAGCAGAACGTTGTGAAGGTGCCCTCAACTAACTCCAAGCAGCCGCACAGATCAGGGGTTAGGGTTGTTCTGCACCTCTCTAAAGAGTGATTTCATTTTTTCCTGCATCTCCTTGAATGCTAGCCTTGAAATCTATGCTGCGTAAATGTGCAAAGGGGGGTAAGGTTCATAGACTTTCCTTTTAAGGCCTGGAATAGATTAAGATGCTATCATCTCTTGGACCAATAGGTTTGTGTAACAAAAATAAAACGAACCTTTGAGATGGCCACAGATTTCTTTTTTTCTGTCTAAAATAGGAAGTGCAAAATGCAGAAGAGCTGTTGTGGCAGCTGAGGCCACTTGGCTAGCAGGAGCACACTGAAAACTCCGATAAATGAAGTTAGTTCAAGAAGGAGGTTACAAGATCATGGCAATTAGCATCCATGTTTTGCTCCTTGGACTGGCTAGAGAACATAATCTTGTTAATATGTGACATTTCTTTCCTTTTGCTCTGCTCAAGCTGCACAAAATGCCTGTATTTTGGCAGTGCCGTAAACGTAACTAGAAAAAGAAAAAGAAAACCACACAAGTGTTAATTGGATAGCCAAGTCTTTGCAGGTGTTTTCCTCACAAGAACTCTTAGCGGCCAGGCATAACGTGTTTAAATATTGTGCAATTGGCTTCAGCACTACTGTAATGTGCTCTCTGTGGGCCTGCCCTTTAGGACAGCTTGTAAACTGCTGGTGG